CAACCTAGGTATGTACCCTGACTGGGAATCAAACCTGCTACCTTTTGGTGTACAGGATGATGTTCCAGGTAACTGAGGCCACCCGGCCAGTGCAATTCTAATAATTTTTTAATGGAATCTTTAGGGATCTCTCTATATAACATCCTGTTATCTGAAAATAGCGACAGTTTTACTTCTTTTTTACTTAGAAGTCTTTTATTTCTTTTTCCTGTCTGATTGCCATGCTAGGACTTCATATACTATATTGACTAAAAGTGAGGAACCTGGGTGTTCCTGTCTTCTTCCTGATCGGAAAGAAAAAGATTTCTGGTTTTCCCCTTTAAGTGTGACATTCCCTGTGGGTTCTCATATGTCACCTTTATTTTGCTGAGATCTACTCCCTCCCTCCCTATTTTGATGAGAGTTTTTATCATAAATGGGTATTGAATTTTGCCAAATGTTTTTACTTATCTATCGATATGATCATGACATTTATTTTTCATTGTATGTCTGGCATATCACAGTAATTGTACCACCCTTGCATGCTTAGAATGAATCCCATTTGATCGTTGTATATGATGTTATTAATGTATTACTGAATTTAGTTTGCTAATATTTTGTTGAGGATTTTTTTTAGATAAAAGAATGAAGATGTTATTAAAAATAAAGTGACTTCTTTTTCTAGGCTCATTCATCTTTTTAAATTGAATTTATTTAATTAAAATGGGGGACATTGGTTAATAACATGTTGAGGGTTTTTGCATCTATGTTCATCCAGATATTGGCCTTGTAAGTCCTTTTTGTTTTAGTATCTTTGGTTTTGTTATCAGGGTAATGCTGGTCTTATAATATGAGTTTGGGAGCTTTCCCTCCTCTTCAGTTTTTTAGAATAGTTTGAGAAGGATAGGTATTAATTCTTTCTTAAATGGTTGGTAGAATTCACCTGTGAAGCCTTCTTTACCAGGACATTTTTTTTTTTTGGACATTTAATTATGAATTGGAGTTTCCTCAAAAAACTAAAAATGGAACTCCCATTTGACCCAGTGATTCCACTTCTAGGACTCTATCCCAAGAAACCAGAAATACCCATCAGAAAGGACATATGCACCCCTATGTTCATAGCAGCACACTTTACCATAGCTAAGATTTGGAAACAGTCTAAGTGCCCATCAGCAGATGAGTGGATTAAAAAACTGTTGTACATCTACACAATGGAATAATACACTGCTATAAAAAAAGAAGGAATTCTTACCATTCGCTACAGCATGGACAGAGAGCATTATGCTAAGTGAAATAACCCAGATGGAGAAAAATAAGTATTACATGATCTTACTCATTTGTGCAATATAATGAACAACATAAACTGATGAACAAAAATAGATCCAGAGACAGAGAAGCATCAAACAACTGTCAAACTTCAAAGAGAAGGCAGGGGAGGTGGTGGTGGAGGGGTGGGGGCGGGGGGTAAGAGCTCAACCAAAGGACTTTGTATGCATGTATATAAGCATAACCAATGGACACAGACACTAGGGTGTGAGGGCATGTCGGGGAGCGGTGGGGGAGGCCGGGGAGAGGTCAATGGGGGAAAAGGGAGACATGTAATACTATATGTAATACTTTAAACAGTAAAGTTTTTAACAAGGAAAAAAACAAAAAACTAGATTTAATAAATGAATTAGGCAATGTAGCAGGATACAAAATTAACACCCAGAAATCTATGGCATTTTTATACACCAATAATGAACTCTCAGAAAGAGAAACTTAAAAACAAATCCCATTTACTGTTGCAATAAAAATATTAAGATACTTAGGAGAAAACTTAACCAAGGAGTTAAAAGACTGTACTTAGAAAACTACATGACACTGAAAAGAGATAGAGGAAGATATCAACAAATGGAGCAATATACCATGTTCATGGATTGGTAGAATCAACATTATTAAAATCTCCATACTACCCAAAGCAATCCATAAATTCAATGCAATCCCTATTAAAATACCATTGGCATACTTCACAGATTGAGAACAAACACTCCAAAAATACATGCGGAACCAAAAAAGACCCGGAATAGCCGCTTCAATCTTTGGAAAGAACAAAGTTGGCGGAATCACAATACCAGATGTTCCAAGCAATTGAGCCACCTGGTCAGGCCAGGGGCTTGTCTTTTTTACATTCTTTGTTGTAAAGTCTATTTTGTTTGATATGAGTATTGCTATCCCAGCTTTCTTTTCCTACTCTCACGGAATATCCTTTTCCATGCCTTCACTTTCAGTCTGTGTCTTTCAGTCTAAAGGGAGTCCCTTGCAGTGGGCATATACTA